ACACAACTGTACGTCAATGCACTGAGATGTAAGACTGCAGTAACTGAACTTTCAAACTCAAAATAAAAGTTTAAAGTAATTTTCAATATTAAAACTGCTTAACAAACTCTTGTAAAAATGCATGAGGTAGTTATTTTATTCAAACAAACGTTTGTTACCTTAATCGTTCGGTTCGTTCTCTATAGTGGCCCCGAACTCTAGGTACAGAGGCCGCAATAAAATATGTTTTGAGTGGGTTGTGGACGGTTGTGGTATCTATAGGATCTAGTATTAATGGCCTGTTTCTGTTATAAGTATTTGGCTAGAAGATAATAATTGAAGATATGATAATAGGTATAACATTAATACATAACATTTCTAATTAGTTTCTATTTATTATTTATTTACTTACACAAAACAAAAATACATACATCCATAATAAGTAGTTTAACAGATTATTTTTCGAAGAAAAGTAGGTACCTATACCTACACTGTTACATACAGTTTTAAAATATTAATTTAATTTTTATAAAAACACATTTGTTATTTATAATAACTATATTATATTTGCAACAGTAATGTTTACATTATTTATTTATTTTAATGGTTGTAAAAAAAAGTTTTTATTGGATTCATAAAGGGGAAAAACTAATAATATCGATATAGGTATAGGAGTTTGTATAAAGTTTAACATTTTGCGATATAACTTTGAATGAACATCGTCGCCACTGGTTTTCTATATTAAATTTGTATACTAGATGGTTATAAATATATATAATTATTATTTTATATTTAATATTTTTAAAGACCACGAATACTACGGAACTTTAATTTTCTACTGGCTACCCACCTGTGGTATACTGACTGCCAATTTAATTTTGTTCTTACTAACTGTTATTCATTATTCAAGAATTAAATCTGAACTCAATAAATTCAGACAAACCGATTCAAAAACAGAAATATTCTTGTTTACAAAGCGAGGTAAGATTACAAAAGGATAATATCCGTTCACACAGGGCAGATACCTTTTAAATTGGCTGTTAACTACTTTTAGTACCTACCTCCATATTCATTATTTAAAACTCCTTCACTATAAATAAGGGAGCTCACGAATTGTCTACCATCTGACCCTCAAATTGCCATCTTAGAATTTTTTTTAAAAAAGGTTACCCGAATTGCCTCCCGATTTCAATAATATTATTCACTCGACTCGCTTCCTATTTTAGGTAGTGACCCTCTTGTACTGGTACTATAGCGATAGCTATATAGTTAATCGATTTAGGTAAATATTAATAAATTTAATTAACTTGGTAAATCGAGGCAATGCTGATTGATTTAATATAAATTATGGTTAACTAAATGTTTTAGTAAATAGCAGTAATTAATAGGTAGCAGCAATAATAAAAATAATATATTATAATCAATATATTATAACATAATTTAGATGAAATATCACTCTGTTACACAGTTAAACACTTTTCGAACTGAATTTTATTACGTTGATTGGTTTTCAAATAAGCTGAACACATTTTTTTTGTACATGTCCATCGTTTATGTCATTAGCTAAGTTTTTTTGAAATCCAAACTTAAAACCATCACATATTATAATTGTTTTACTCTTCTCGCTGATCACGTTGATCACGTTCATTTTTATAAGATATATTATGTACGACTTACAACATCGTACTTATAAAGGTATGCTATAATAACGTGTTTTTATCGTAACACTAGGGCAAGCAAAACTGACTGTGTTGAACTGGTGAGTAAATGATTAACTGATAATAACTGATTTATAAGATTATTGTATTCGAAAAAATAATCGATCTGGGAAATACTGTATGTCTTAAAAAAATAATATTTTTTAACATTACTGAAAAATATAATAATAATATCATATAAAAATTGATAGTACACGTAAAACTATCGATATATTAATTAATATAATCCAGGTATGTTATGGGAGGTAATTCGAGCAGACCGTTTGAGTATATTCTAATCGCCGCCGAAAACACCCGGAGGCAATTCGAGTAAAAAAAGGTCACCTACCTAAATTTGGGAGGCAATTCTATTCAGTGTTCGGACTCATCTAGATGAATATCTAGATAATTATTTGTTCATTTTCTATCTTATCTAGATAAATAGTTACAATAGGTATCTAAACGTTCATCTTATATCATTTTTTTACCACTCGATATACGATATACGATATGTACAGAGTGATAGTTTTTTGAAAAACGGCTATCATTTGTTATTTGCAGGCTTATCATATACCTAGTCGTTTTGTATATTTCTATATTTCTATATTCTGTGTTTTTGTGTTTAAGACGAACGAGGTTCAGCTCTGGTGGGACTGACAAATTCACTCGAGTGGATCTTCCGGCACCGCTTTTCCGTCGCCGTAGCAGCTCCCGGAAAGGCACCTGGAGGCGTCCGTCTTTCCGTCCGGAAAACGTGGCCGCCGATCGATGCGACTTTCCACCTCCGCCGCCGCCAGTGCTAAACGTGGGCCCGGGCCGAGCCGCCTACTTTCGGCACGGAAAGCGTGGCCGCCCTTCGCTTCTGGTTTCCGAGACCGCCGCCGACTCTGCCGGTCCGAAACGTGGGCCCGGTCGCGGCCGCAGGCTATTACGTGGGCCCGGCAAGGTTCGCCGTGAACGTCCAGCCGCCCCTTCCTTGTGGAGTGGCCCCGTCGATGTTCACTTATCCGCCCCCACCGATGCGTCGATTGTGAATGTGTGATAGCGATAAGTGATAATCCGTTTATCTATAAATAATACAATTTATTAGTCACTTAAGATGCAACCCCTCTGTTTTTTATTATTAGAAAATGCTGATTCTGATAATGTTGTATGTATAACCCGTCCAGTTCATCTCGGCTGAAAATACCTATATATTTTTTGGTAAGTCAGTTAGAGTCACTTTACCTTGTATGATGGGAGTTTGGGATTAATTAACTATTTAGTATTTACTGATGATTACTGCTATACAAATATATTGTGTTATAATTAAAATCTAATTGTTGTCACTACTCACTTGTCAAAAAATACTTTCTCTTAATAATTCTAATTTATATTTGCTATTAGCTATACCGTTGAAGTGAGTTTTTAAAGCCGAAAATTGTTCTACGATACTTTTGATGCAACCATACCAAGCTAACCAACGAGTGGTTGATAGTTGAATCAATTTATACGGAGACTTTCCATCATACAAATCTTAGTTTTAAAATATATTTATCAGTCTTTAAATTAAATATACGGGTGTATCTTAATTAACTACTTATACCTACTACTATAATAATATTATAAATTCTTGTAAATGGTTATGTAATATCAATAATAATTTTTATTTTTATTATATTATTTATTATTTAATTATTTATAAATTAACTTAACTTGAATTTGGTTAAAAGTAACTCGTTATTTATTAATTTTATATCAATTAAAATAAATTAAGTTAAAAATTAAATTAATGAAAATTGAATTTTAAGAAGTTAAGTTAAAAGTTAAAGTTAACTTAACTTTGAACTTTTCAACGCGTTTATGCCCAGGCTTGCTAAAAACTTATTATTTATGTAAGTATGCTAGCTGCTAGGAGGAAACAATAGCGGTACAAGCGGTATTCACTTGTCCACCTTTATAAAAATTAATTTGACTTTTTTTTAAAAACCTATCGCCTATTATTTTACCATCGTTTGTAGGAGTTAACACTATGGCTATGTTGGAGATTACCTACATTTGTAGGAGCTTACTATTCCCCCTATAAATTACGTTTTGC